ATGTGAAACATGTATAGAAAAATATGACTGTACCAAGGTCTAAGCTTAGGGGGAACGGAATTTCACGCTATAGTCTTAAATGATTATATTTATTAGTCCTGTTTGAATTTACGTAACACTGCGTTCATTGCATTGCTGTCATTCTAGGGCAATTTCGTTTAACACTTAATCTACAAGATCTAAAGCAACCTTTGTAGTCGCTCACCTTGCTTGCGACATTTTCCACGAAACCGTTATCAAAAACGGATCGATAATAAGGACATAGTTACACTGTTAGAATTTTGTTCGATTTTTTCCTAATCACCGTCCATAGATTATAAAGCCACAAGGTTTATCACGGATCGGTTTCACTCTGTGGATTTCCGAATATCCAAAGCCAAAAGAAGTCAACAGGGCGTCTTGTTAAGATGTTTTATGACTGGGATATTTCATCTAACATCAAATGAACCTTGATTATCCTTTATCTTAAAAAAAGTTTATTTTATTTTTATTACTTATCACTGTCCACAGATGACAAATCCGTAAAGTACAATCACGTTTAAATAAAACACTTTAACGGTATAAAACGCGATATATTAGTTAAACTTATTTGAAAATGATTTTTAACTTCGGCCCGACGTTTCTGTGTACTGGAACTTTAAATCACTCGCGTAAACTATAGACAGTATACAATCACGTTGCAGTTTTAGTCTGGGTATGTGCGAATATCCAAAGCATAACATTTTGAAATATTTTTAAGTTAATAAGTAGAATTACCATATATTAGGTACCTAACTGTAAAACGAACCGCAACGACAAAATATACGTAAATTTCGCCCGCCACAGACTATAAATTAGATATCTGAAAGTGATTCGGTTACAGAGTTCATATTTGGAAGGTTGTTGTGCACGTGGGCCGCGACATTTGCCCTAAGAGTGCAGCTTTGTCACGGGCTTGGCTAGTGACGTCATTAGATGAGTCATCATGTTTCCGTGGAAGTGTTTGACATTTGGGCGGGAATGGGCTAGACAATTCGACCAACACTTAGATAATGTTGGACCCATTCCTATTGTTCTACTAATTAAAATGTTATTTTTTATTATTATTTTGCACGTCTCCGTTTCTTTATATTTTCCATAAAAAGCTTTTTCATCTGAGAGTTGAAACAAACTATAAACAATTTTAAGAGACTAAATAAAGATAGTTCTAAAACCTCTTACGAAATTGTAAACTGAAATTAATTTACTTTAATTATTAAATATTGGACTTAAGTTATTAGAAGCCTGTCGATGTAACGCGTTAAATACAAAGCTTACAGTAGGAGTCTAACAGACAAAAAATAAAAACATTAATCTCAGGTACTACTAAAAAAAAGTGTAAATATTGGGTAGACCCGCTATCGAGCAAGGCTTTCGGAATGGAAAAACGGGGGAAACTGCACACGCAAATCTGTTAAGAAAATCATAAAGTACGTAAGATAGAATTCCTGTTTAGACGTAAAGAAATATCCGCGACACTATGTCTTAAAGTTTAACTCGCAAAAATCGTTTTTGATCAAAAATATTGCGTTATTATATAATAGATAATATTACTCTTGAAAACAACAAAACAACGTTTGGCAAATCAGCCAGTAACACATAGGCAACAACACAACAATCGTAGTGGACTCCACTCTAATTTAACATATAGGAATTACGTTGCGGCTTACAAGAATATGCGAAATGGATATAGTTTGAGCAATTCTTGTATTGCATCTAATTGTCGACGACACTGAATGTGTCAGAGCTAGTCGTGTACCGCGGCGCTGCGTGGGCAAACCACCGCGTTAATGCCTTATTATGATAGACGGGAACAAGAACGGGAATATGTAATGTACATCTCGTTTTGGTATCGCTTTCAAGTTGTACATGGATTAATAAAAATTATAATTTATATAAATTCAGTGACTTATGTTACAGGTCATATTATAAATTAGCAAATAAAGCAAGAGTGGCCCAATAACAAAAAACATGATTTTCAGCTGTAAAATAAAATTGCGTAATTAACTTAGGTAAAAATGAATTTAACTATTATTTGTGTAAAAAATTATCTTAATAATTTTCAGTCGCTGTCTTCTTAATCTTGTAGATTAATATTTTTAGACTATGAAAATATAAATAACTCAAGTCAAGTCATAAAATTGCAGTTAGGCTACTCTGCCTCTGGCGGCCTCAATTGTTTCAGTTGAGCATCAGTCACTGTCGCATAAATTTGTGGATGGACTTTTATTTTCATATTATAATCGAATAACTCGGCGTTAACGAAGCGATATCAAAAGTTTAAGCCGTGGTCACGGGAAGAATGACCTCCCAGTGACCACGGCTGCTACAAAGTATCCGAAACGTCGGGCCGAAATTAAAAATAATTTCAAATAAGTTTAACTTATATATCGCGTTTTAAAACGTTGAAGGTTTTTTATTTAAATGTGTACTACTCGCGTAAACTATAGACAGTATTTTAATAGTTAATTTACAAGTGAATTTAAGTATGACCCGGCATTTGGCTGCTTTGCAGTAGTCGCTTAAATTTTTTTTTATTTAAATAAGAAGAAAACCGAAAGGATATAAAAATATAAATGAACACAAAAGGCATTCAATTCATTTGATGAAGGATTTCATTGTTTGCTAAATTATAAAAAACTTGTTACGTCACAGTTTACAATTCTATTTTTAAATATATTTACTGTCACTTTCGTGAAATCAGAGATATTTTTAACACAATCACCAATTAAAGAATATTCATAGATAGTTCTCTATGAATTGATTTATTTCACTCAATAAAAGTGTCATAACAATTCAAACAGCGGACATTGGTTATTTGTCTAATAATTTACTAACCTTTACGTAAATAACAAGGAAGAGAGAGATAATTAAAAAGTTTATAGTGGACAGTTTCACAACTTTCAGATTTCATACACTTTCCACAGCGTAATTACCAATTGGACCAAATTTGTTCTGTCGTAAAATAAAAGCGTGTTTGTTGCGCCTGCCGCACACGTGTTACTTTTAAAATTATTTTAAACTAAGTAGTAATGTAATATCGTTATAGTAAAGGCATTATATAGTAAACTTAGTAGCATATAAAACAGACTACTCTAAGAACTAAACCTATATTATTTTCACATATTTTAAATTAAGTACATATTGGTTGTAGTTTATTCATTCACAAACGATTAAAATACAAATATTAAAAAAACAAAACAGAGCCTATCTATAAGTAAAATTAATGAAAGCAATTTCTATAGACTAGTAAATAGTACGTATTACATAACGATAATACGATATCTGAAACGTAAACAATATATAAACATTATAAGATTTAAATTAAAAGCAGTTTTTATATACAGATTTACTTATTGTTTATTCCAATGAACAGTTTTTGCTAACCAAAGAATACCAATTTTTGAGTTCTTCATCTCATTTTCACAGAATTTTCTTGTAATTTCGCTCCAGTATCGTGTGTGCGGAATTCTTTTTGTTAGTAACTAATAACTGTCAGATAACTATAAAACAGAGTGATTTGAGCATAGATTATAAAGTAAGAATGTAGACTGACGGATTGTTAGCGAAGTATAATGGATTTAGCACATTTGCAAGAGTTATTAAGTTGGTTAACACTTCAGGGGCTATATAAGAATTCAATAAGCCTATGTAAGATCTAACTAGTGGCTTTAACTACGTATTTACAATTCAAATAAAATACTTCAACGGTTTACACGGTTGTAGCCGTAGTCCATGGCTGCTGCAAAGCATCCGAAACGTCGGACCGTAGTCAAAACAATTTACAATTAAGTCTAATATATATCGCGAATTAAACCGTTAAAGTGTCTTATTTAGATGTGTACTACTCGAGTAATCTATAGACTGTATGTATGTATTTACAAGAAATCTTTACATACTTAATATTTTTACATATAAATATTTTAATAACAATTATGTACAATTATGGGCCCGACGTTTCGGATGCTTTGCAGCAGCCATGATCGTAAGACTGAAGATGGCAAGAGTCCTTAATTTCAAAATAAAAAATGGCGCTAGCATAGCAAATTTGACTTTAACATTGCACCATTTTATAATTCATATATATAAGACTTGTTCTTTCGTAGTCTGTACACACATAATTGAAGACGGGTATCAGAAAATCATTAATTTAGCCCAAGCCTAACTATTATTAATGTTATCAAAGCTGTAATACATTCAACTGAAGATAGATGGCGATTGAATTATAATTATTGAACCGCTAACTTTATGGGTAATGAAGTACCCTAATTGATTGTATTTCACGCTTCGCGATTCCTCGGTAATTGATAATTTCACAGGTTTAAATGCTACACTAATTAGAGTTAGGCTGTGGTCTCCGATAAACGCTATTAAGTTGCTGCGAGACCCTATTAATCTATTATTACCTATCATGGAAGAATTTTAGGAAGGGGTAAGGAGGTACCCTCCTTTTCGTCTCTAGTTACTCCTCTAGCCTTAACTACAGCTATCAAACACCACGCCAGCCACCATATAGGTTAAGATTCCCCAAATCAACACTTTGCATCATACACGAGGCTACTTTTCAAGAAAGAGGGGAAGCACTCTTTCTTTAAAAGTAGTTCTGTGGTTCTGGTATCCACGCCAACATGAACTATCAGACTTATTTGAGTAAAGGTCTATATTCTAAGTATAAGATGAATGAAAAGAAGCTATTAGAGGTTTCTGGTAACAATTTTATCTGGAAGATCTAAATGGGTGGTATAAATATCTACATTCCGTCTGAGCAACAGACATATATAGATGAAAAAGCTGTAAAGTGTAAATCCACTTTACGGTTACAGTTTACGGAGATCTGAATGTCCAAAATCAAAATTGGGCGTCAGAACCTCAATACATATTATATGGCTGAGCTATCATCTCCAGTCGATGGAACAACTCCAAGCTTTTCTATCCTCTAAAGTCTCCTTGTGATCCAGCTAACGGTTCCTCAGTGCTCAAAGATGATGACTAAGCTGCTAAGAGCATTGATAGAAATGCCCAACGCAGTAGTTTCCTTCATATTTGCATCAAAGACAAGACCTCAATTATTACTAAAGGATTATGATAATTTGCATCGAGTTGGTGATTTGTGGGCAGCCATTAGCGATAGACAAAGGTCAATGAAGGAGCTTGGTCACTGCGACCTTTCTACAGCACACAGGAAAGTGAGATCGAAGATATGAAACATTTTGCTAGACTGTTTTGTAATGCCAGCAAATATAGATCATTATCGATGAAGATCTTAAAATAAATAACCTTTGTGTACCTATGTAATGTCTGTAAAAACACGTGGAACACCTTTAAATAAAACACTTTTGACGGTTGAAATCTTTAATTTTTACACTTGTTTTGCGCATGATGGCACAATATAAATTAAAAATTGAAAAAAAAATTAGGACTGCGCGACAAGTGCATGTATTAATAGGTTGAAAAAATTTGACGTCGTGTAGTGCCGGTTCAAAACCTGCCCGTGTCGTAATTTTGTTCAATTTACTTATGATTTTCAACGCGAAATATAATTATGGAATGTCCGAATTTACGTAAATAACACTTGTTAATAAATCAAGGTTAACGGTTTTAAACGCAAATTTCGATAGACACCGCCTTAAGTTAACTAACACCTGTGTTATTTATACTAAAAACACTAGATCCTAAAAACTAATACATTTCTAATTTATTTGCAATTGATTGAAAATCATATTTGTTATGGTAAAATTGTGGATGCCGGTTACAGTCCTGTCTGTTCGTATTTTTTTATTTTTATTTTTAATTTATGCATTAATCAAGTTTTCTAATCCAGTACAAATTTGTAATTATTGTAATTCTGTACTATATCTGTGAATATTACCAACATTTATAGTTCAGGAAGCAAGCGAGACCGGTCCTATAACCTTTTGCCAAATAACTCCTTAATTAGACAAGTGAATACATATAATGGTTTAACCTTTGAAATACTCTTTATGACACATAAAGATATGAATCGGCAATTGACGAATTGACGTAGGTTTAAACAGCCATTGTTTTACTGTAAGGAAATTAATATTTTAATACATATTAAATTATAATGAAGTAATTTTCAAATGACAATTATTTTAGGTACGAATCAGGTTTTTTTGCACGCCACTTAATGTTTTTAAAAATCTCGGGTCTCTTTACACATTTAAATAAAAACTGTAAATAACTGTTTAGAACTCGAAATATATCAGTTAAATTTGTTCACAAATACATTTCACGTTTTAAATTCGTTAAAGGGTTTATTGAAATAAAAGTAATATTTGTAGGTATGTTGATTTTGTTATATAAATAAAACACTTTAACGGTTTTAAACGCGATATATTAGTTAAACTTATTAAAATGATTTTTAACTTCGGCCCGACGTTTCGGATGCTTTGCAGCAGCCGTGGTCACGGGGAAACGTCGGGCCGAAGTTAAAAATCATTTTCAAATAAGTTTCACTAATATTACGAGTTAAACCGTTAAAGTGTTCTATTTAAATATGTACTACTCGCGTAAACTATAGACAGGATTTGATTTTGTTATGTATGCCGCAAATATTACTAATATCGCTAATCCCGTTTGCGTCATTTATTTTAATGATAAGTCAAACTTTTTACAGTTTCATTTTTTTATAATGTATAGACAAAAGGAGTTCACATAATGGAAGGTACAATACCCTCACGATATAACATCTAAAGATGATGTGTTAACGACTGATTTTGGATTTCGATATACTGAAGTCCATAGACTGAAATTGAAACGTGACGTCAAATTTACGACTTCTTCACGTGTGGACGATTGTTCATGACACAATACATTTAATAGGAATCGGTGGGATTCGAACCCACGACCCATTGATTATTAGCCATCCATTGTTAACTTTGAACCATAGAGCCCGTACTTTTTTAATTCAGTACAATCTAACAAAAACAAAATCACCCTTGAATGTTCTTAATAATTTTTTATTTTTTTTCAGGTAAGCTGGTAGATTTCAACACGGTTACAGGTGAATATAATTTTCAACATAGAACATAGTGTTTCAAGATTACTCAATTCCGTATGACCTTCCTCGTATGGAATGAGTTTCCCAATGTACAATATACATATCAATACTGTTTCTTGTTTGTTATGTAAATTACTATACTTCAGGTGAACCATTTTTTTACATTTCAAATGATGGAAATGACCTTATGTTACATCAAACGTGCATATTCTTTAAGTTAGCATTGTAATTTAAATAAAACAATTTTAAAGGTTTAAAACGTGAAATATATCAGATAACTTATTTACATACGTACATATTAGATAATAATTTAAATAAAACAATTTTAAAGGTTTAAAACGTGAAATATATGTATTATTTAATACGTGTATATTTGTTAAGTGAGCATTGTTATTTAAATAAAACATTGTTAACGGTTCAAAACGCAAAGTATATCAGTTAACTTATTTACATACGTACATATTTAGTAGGTTAGCATTGTTATTTAAATAAACAATTTTAAGGGTTTAAAACGTGAAATGTATGAGTTCACTTATTTATCTACGTGCATATTTGTTAAGTAAGCATTGTAATTTAAATAAAACACTTTAACGGTTTTAAGGTAAACTTATTTGAAATATTTTAAACTATGCCCGACGTTTCGAATGCTTTGCCACAGCCGTGATCACGGGGAGATGGAGGGTGGTTTGGCGTCAAAGGAGAAAACTGCTACGCTATCGACTTCTGTTCCGTCGAAATTTATATTTCATGTTTTAAACCGTTAAAAGTATTTTCGTTAAGTATCTGCTGTAGTTTTTTTTAGTGACAAGTTTTATATATAAGAAAATTATCTCCCGAAATAGAAACATTTAATTCCTTAGGCGTTTTAACCCTTATAAGCCAACTTAAATGTCCATTTTCGCGTGTTACAAAAGTTATCTGGTAAAATAAGTAAAGGATGTATAAGGGCTGACAAGCACAGCCTGAAACTGTCGCTTTAACACAACGCAATTGTTAGTAACTTACCTATTTGGTTGTAGAACAGAGCTCCTGTCTTGTACTAAACACCTTGTTGCCGATATTGAAAATCCATTTGAATAAACCGATAATTTAAATAGCATGTTATTGACCAAAAGAGGGCGCTGAATGTAAATTTAAATTGTGCCTTTGGTTGCTTTGCTACGTTACTCGTCGTCTTTAATAGTGAAGCAACTCGTGTTTAACCGTTAAAAGTGTTTTATTAATCGTAAAACTAAGTTTAGTAGTATATGTAATACGTAATTACGATACTTTTGCGATAAGGGATCAAGTAGTTGATTAGATTTTTGTACTCTACCCGGCCGAATCTTCTATCATGATTTCTCGGGATTCGAACCCAAACTCAGTGCCTAACGAAATGCGTTTAACGATTGTACATGCGTGCTACACACTGGTTATTCCACATATACGCATTAAAGTTGATTAAAAATCGATTTAATTAAAAAACTAATAACGACACATGCTACTGTGCCAATCCAATTGTGATACTGTATCAAAGGCAGTTGAATCAATATGGATGTCAGTCCCGCCTGTGACATATTTGTTTTTTTATTTATATTAAACTTTTTATTTATATTTTCACATCGATATTTATCATGCTATTAAGCATATCATATACCACATTTTTATACCAATTTAAAATATCATGTATTTATTATACTTTTATATAAAATGCGAACGCTTTCACAAAATTACTTAATTGGAATGACAATTTTGCGAATAATGTCCAAGAGGCGCCCGCCACCTAGTGAGACGACCTGAGACATTTCGACAAATTCCCAATTAACATAACCATTTGAAATATCATATAACCGCTGAGTATATTAGCCAAATATATTTTGACCTTTAAAATATGATTTCGCGACAAAGCGCGACACATAAAACTAATCTTTCTAGGATATCTATAGAGTAGTTACAACATTAGACTTTTGAACAGTAGTTTATATATTATTTTGAAATTGAACATATCATATGTTTTATTTTAATAATTAGACTGCCATAGATAGACTGCGTCGATAGGGTTTATACCATTTCAATTTTCAATGTTAAACAAACTCATAATTTCAAAATAACTTATTAGAATTATGACTATATATTATTTACAAAGATATTACACATATTCTTACTGAAATTAGTTTCATACGTAGTTTTAATTTATACAAAATTAATTTTCAATCTCCTATGTCCACGGTTGATAAGTGACCAAATTCTTTTTTCAAAAATTAGTTATAAATTGCGTTTTAAATCGTTCAAAGTGTTTTTCATTCGTACTCGCGTAACACAGCTATTTTTGTTGCATGATTATTATAATGTGTACTATAATATATCGTTTGAACTATAATGTACATATAAAGCCACACAGGATGTATCGATAATGTTAGGTTCTCGATATTGAAACTGGATTAAATGTTATGATCGAAGATAGTTTCAGGACACTCGGGACATTGTTTGAGTGAGTTTGTTATTGTATGTATATGCGATCATTCAACTTGGTAATGGCAGCTCTAGATAGATCTTTGCAAAAACTTTAACTGTTTCGGGATACATTCCTGTATTTTACTTGTTTGATACCAAATAATTGTATAAGTTAAAGAAAATCTTAATACGTTCTAATGTATTTCATAGACAAGTGAAATGAATGAAACCATGCACGTATTCTCTTTCATAGGTTCCAAGATCCATTACGATGCTCTATTGCGGTTGTCTTTAGTGGTTCTTTTACGACTACCGCCATTAGAGTATTTTAAATTTTAGTAATGAAAATCTATAATCGATTATAATAAGTATTGATTCAAAACGGTTTTAGTGTTTGATAAAACATTACTTTTATATATAATATGATATTAAATTTATTTATTTTAAATAAAAGAGATATCGGTGACCAAAATTCCAAATTCAAATGTTCACAGCGCAACACTTGTTCTACGCTAATTTGTATGCATAGAGTTTTATCAGAGCTTTCAATATAACTGACATTAAGTGGCGGCAGATTCGGCCGTTTAAAAAAACATTAAGATGCTTTGATTACAGACTCCCACACTACGGTATATTGCTAAGCGCCAGGTGGTCAAATGGACAGTATATAATTGGGTAAACGGCGGGCTTAGATTTACAGCTTATAATCTTCAAGTAGTACTGGGGGATACCTAAGAAATATGTACGTAA